GCGCTTTATACAACCATCAGATCTCATGAGACTTATTCACTATCACAAGAACAGCAAGGAAAAACCTGCCCCATGATTCAATTACCTCCCACTGGATTCCTCCCATGACACGTGGGGATTATGGGAGCTACAATTCAAGATGAGATTTGGGTGGGGACACAGCCAACCATATCACCATCCTCTATATCAACCAGGGAAGTGCTGAGCTTCTTCCATCTTAGCACATTTGAAACATCAGCTGTTTTGCAAAGTACATGTCCTTCCTATCCACTCTGTTTACCCCAACACAACCACAATATTCTTCCATATCCTGGAATCTAGAAAAATGTCAGGTGTTCCATTATCACCAGAATAATGGCACTATCAACTACTGATATGAAGTGCTATAATGTCAACATGCTCAGTTACAACTATATTACTCTGGGCTAAGACTGTGTATTCAATATTTATTGGATTGAATACTGTCCTTTACTCGAACTACTGAGAAAGGCTAACAGGTAGAAGTCCAGTAGCACACTGTCAATTCAAGAAATAACTGACCTTAGCAAGATAATCTCACCAATTTCTTATTAGAGCATGCATCCATACGTCTATTGAGACTGTGGAAGCAAAAGAAAGACTAGCAGACAAGTCTAATTAATCTTTTATCCACTGCATCTAGCACAGAGAGTAAATGTTGGTACACACTTACATTCAGTGATATAACAGGTAATCAGGCAAATATCATCACTATAGACACTTTAATATGGAATTGGATTCCAACAAAAGTTTTAATAAAATAAGGCACAATGTTTGATATGGCAAAATTTACATGGAGGATTAGTTAATATACGTATGTCCTGGGGGAGGGGGAAGAAGATGGTGGAATTGAAGTAGCCTAAATATTCTTTTTAGAGCACTTAGCATTACAAGGCAATATATAAATTTGATATTAATAAAATAAATGATAACTTATCCTAAAAATAAAAATTGTTGAATCATGTTGCTGAATTACTTTTACCAGTTTTAGCTACCTACAGATGTAGATATTCCTAATTCGCAAGATTTGAAATACAGGAAATTAAGAAATCACACCATAAAAAGTAATTTGACCAAAGTAAAAGTATGTTTTCAGTATCCTTCATTAATACTTTGAAGTACCAAACTTTATGAAAACTTACAATATTGGTTATTTAAAACTTTTCTCCCATTATGTTTTTGTTTCTTATGAATACAAAGTGCGCTCAAAAATGCAAAAAACCTCAACTGTAGGCACACAGTTCTTATATGATTGTTGTAAAGTGACTGTTTAGGTTAATACTCTTTCTTAATATCACAACAATGTTAACAATTTAAGTTAGTGAAAGGATTCTCTTAAACATAAGTTGTAGACATAATTAACCAATTTAGTCATGTTTTTGCAAGGCTGCAACAGTAACATCAGTCTTATCACTGTATCTTCCAATAGCTGGAACTTAACAATAAAAGTCTTATCCAATTTAGTCACAGCCAAAGGAACAAAGTACATTCTGGTGAATGCAGATGTTCTTTCCACCATAGCTTCATTGTATGACAGTATATAAATAACCTTCATTAAACTAATACACTTTAATATTTACTGGGTTGAATGCTGTCCTTTGCAAGAACTATTAAGAAAGACTAATGTTAGGTAAAAGTCTAGTAGCACCCAAATCAATATTACCCTGTGAGTGTTCAATAATATGCAAAGTTCATTAGTGAACAGTTTTTTTTAAAGTCAATTCTTAGTAAATACAGACCACAAAGAGATAGAAAAAGAATGGGAGATATTTACATACAAAAGTATTCAAACATGTCTCCCTTTCAACCTATATTACAAAGAAAACCAATGGCAAAATATGCAAAGCCTTACAATATCTTTATATGATGCTAGAAATATGAAGTTGGTTAGAAATTGCTGTCATTCTTTGGTGGCACCAGATAAATTTTTAAAATAATATATAAGAGAACATACTTTTTCAGTGATTTTATTTCAGGGTACCCTGATCCTTATGGTTTTGACATCCTGGGGCAGAATGCATGATAGAGGTTCCCTCCCCAGAAGCCCTAGACTCATATACATTAGGCCATTTTATGACAAGAAATATTTCAGGATCAGTCTTTCTCCCTCAAGTTAAATGAAAAAGGTAACAAGGCTGTCCCAAACAACCTATTAAATTAATATAGCTCTCCAAACTTTGGGTCTAGAGGATTTAAGGCACATACTTCCTGACCACAAGTGAAATCACTGACACCTTTAAAAAGATCTGACTATGAAAATACAAAATTGCATGCAATTTTTTTTTTTTGAGATGGAGTCTTGCTCTGTTGCCCAGGCTGGAGTGCAATGGCATGATCTTGGCTCACTGCAACCTCTACCTCCCAGGTTCAAGCGATTCTCCTGCCTCAGCCTCCTGAGTAGCTGAGACTACAGGCACGAGCCACCAAGCATGGCTAATTTTTGTATTGTTAGTAGAGATGTGATTTTACCATGTTGGCCAGACTGATATTGAACTCCCGACCTCAGGTGATCTGCCTGCCTTGGCCTCCCAAAGTGCCAGGATTACAGGTGTGAACCACTGTGCCTGGCCCAAAATTGTACACTATTAAATTAATGTTATACAGGCCATAGTACTTAATATGGAAACAGGGACATTCAATACAGAAGGAATCAAAACTATGCATTATAGGTCACATTGAGTAAAAAATCTACACAATAGCTTTTACTATTGTTAAGTACCTGGCACAACTTAAAAGCTCACTCTTTCGGACTAAATGGGGAATAATATTTATAATGACATAATAAAAGCTCTACTTTTGGATGAGAAAAGAATCATTTGGGTAAAAATTAAATGTTTCTAACTAAATGCAGCTTAACTAACCTTTATATATATACATAACTGACAGTTTTGTCTACGAAGCGTCTTACAAAAATTTAGGAATAACCACTAACTACTTTTTACATAAATAGCTACTGCTAAAATGCTTTAAAAGATCAAATTTTATTTGTACTATTTGCTTAGTGTTTTTTTCTTTTTTACATAGTGAAAAGGTAAACATTAACCAAGGGTACCTGTTGTACCACAAATTCCAGGTTAATGAGGTATGACTTTCTCCCTTTTGGAAGAGCAAAGTTGGCTGTAAGAAGATCTTATTACTTGATGGCCCTTAATTATGGAGGGATATGGACAATTTCCCAATACACTGAACAGATTTTGTGATAAGGGCTTTTGGATGGTAGTCAGTAGGCCACTTAATAATTTAATTTTAAAATAATTGACTATTACTTTAAAGGGCTTTCTTGGCCTAGGGCTTTCCCTAGGTGTTTGGTTATTTCTCTTCTAGCCCGGTGGTTTCTAAAGATTTCTTTAACACTCTAGCAATCAGCCTCTTCCTTCTCTTTTTTTGTTTAAATCTGATAGTTACAGAATCTGGTAGAACTGGTGTTCAGTATTATAACGCATTATTGTGGACTAATTTTTACTTTTACATAAGCACAAAAGTTCCTCAAATTTGAGGTACAATTTACAATGCAAGTCTTTTTTTGTTTTTCTTTTTCAAGACAGAGTCTCACTCTCTCGCCCACGCTGGTGTACACTGGCAGTGATCTTGGATCACTGCAACCTCTGTCTCCCAGGTTCAAGTGATTCTCTTGTCTTAGACTCTGGAGTTAGCCGGTACTATAAGCACATGTCACCACACACAGCTAATTTTTTTAGTTTTAGTAAAGATGGGGTTTCACCGTGGTGGCCAGGCTAGTCTCTAATTCCTGACTGCATACGATCCACCCACTTCAGCCTCCCAAAGTGCTGGGATTATAGGCATGTGCCACCGCACCCCAGTCAAGTCTTTACTTTTAAATGTGGTAACTTGAAGCTCTAAATATCAAGAATTTTTGAACAAGCAACAATTCATCACACATTCATTATTAAAATATGACCAGTCACCTTTGGATTTACCTCCACTACTCAAATACTAGAATATTGAGGACCCTGGCCAGCTGGTCCTTAATGTCAGCCAATCCCTAGCACCCTGGAATCAATATGTCATACACTAATCTTCCTATTTCCCAGAATCTTAGCACTCTCACAAGCTCAGTTTGGTGATGCTGAATGAATGGATTCAAGGAATAGACTACTAATAATGCACAATGTACTAATTTCAATTTCTTTTTTTTTTTTTTTTTTTTTT